TTAGATCTTTTACTTACATGTGAAATTTATTTCATTTATCTATCTGAAATAGTACTAAAGTTATAGGCTTTTGAAAAATTCAAAGTAGAAAATGTACCACTTCCGGTTATCGGAAATCGCTCAAAAGTTGATAAGGATCTACGATTTTGATAAAATACTTATATATGAAATTTCATCAACCTAGCTGTAACGGTACTCAAGTAATCGTGTTTACACACAGACAGACACACAGATACACACACACAGACATACGGACAAGCTTGCAAAATTATGTTTTTCCATATCAGTGAGGTGTAAAACGACGAGATTTGTAAAAATCTCGATTTTTTTTTCTTACAGTTTCTAATACTATTGACTTTTATTATGGAGCTTGTAGAGAGTCAACAGTATTAGAAACTGTAAGAAAATCACGGCGCCCCACGTTTTTGATCGCTTATAGTAGAGTGATCGCTTGCATTATTGTGATGTATAACATTTATTTTCTACTTTTTAGTTCAATCAGAAAACGTGGGTTTTTTAAAACGTTTTTAATGATTATTAATTTCTACTTTTTAGTCTTTGTCTGTTTGTTTGCATTAAAATCTCGTAAAAGTTGTATAGCATTAAAGTCTCGTAAAAAGACAACTCGTAAAAAACACGTTGTGTGAATACGTTACTGACTAGAACACATACATTTGAACTCGCGCCGAGTGGGATAGCAATCGTGTGCCCAACCACTCGACCATATCGTCTCCCCCATACTGGCCACCAGTTGTTACGTTCTGGTTGTTTGTACACAAACACTGCGTGAACACTAGTCAGTAAGTAAAAAGAGGGAGAGTCCCGAACCTTGTTTTCATCAAATTACAGTTACTGGGTTATGTCCCTTTTCCCCCACGTTTTTGCACAATTATATAGCGGCCTAAAATGATCAATAAAATGTTTCCATGGATCAATTTAGTAATAATAATTGAATATTCTATGGTCATCGGAAACAAAGCTTCCCTGAAAATTTCAGCGCGCTAGCTAACCGGGAAGTGTCCGAAATTTCGATCGCAAGATTTGATTGGAGAACCAAACAGAAGCGAAAGCAAGTTAAAGAAAACGTGGGAAAAAAGGTTTCAATTTTTAAAGGATTTTGTTGTTCTGAAACAGCAACCATATAAAACCTCCGCTGAAACAGCAACCATATAAAACCTCCGTTGAGTCCGTTCTCTGGTAATGCCACGTTCGCCTACCAGGGTCTTTTTTTTTGTTACATCCAGTTGACCGTCGTCAGCTGGTCTACGAGTCTGTTGGGTCGTGTCAGAATACACGAAGGGCGACATAGATTGGACGCTGTAAGCTGTTGTAATTTCTAATCTTTTCTAGTTGTTCATCAGGCTCTGGGAGTTATTTAATACGAAGATGCAGTTTATTTTCTTATGATTTTACAGCCTTTTGATGGCGCGCATAAAAGATTGATGCGTTACTTTATGTTCCTAGAGTCTATATATACCGAGTGTATTTAACGAACACAATAGCCTACAACCAACAATAAACGTCTACTGTTATATACAGAAAGCCTTTTGATGCAAAATGTGCAAAATAAAATTAAATGAAGTATGTAGTTTTGAAATGACTACAAAACTTGAAAAAAACAAGTTCTTAAAAAAAATTATTAATAGTTTTTAAATTCTCTGAAATTAAATAAACAAAACTTATTTTCTTTCTTTAATAAAAAAAAAAAACTTTGGTCTCCAAAATGTGTAGATTTCGCGAGCGACAAAAGCTTTTATTTTAAATAATGCAATTTAGTTTTATTTTCTTAGGTTGAAACTTTGCCCAAACTAAAATTAATGTGAGAATTCAGACATTGTATTTTTTAGGGGGGTCGGGTGCATGCAGCCTACCAGGCGTCCACCCCTCCCCCATCACGTCGCCTTCCGTCCCATCTTGTCCTGTTCGCCCCTTCCCCTCACCCCCAGTTTAACGAAGACAGTATCGAAGCCCTGGCCGTGAACAGAAATAGAATTTGACGGTTTGCTCAACAAAAAAAAACAACAGATGTGACCTATTTCTCTGAGATCAAAGTAAGCCTGTCCTAAACAGGCCTGCGAGCTCTGCCCTCACCTGTGTGACCTCCTCCCCCTGTCCTCCCTGTAACAGTCAACTGGAAGAGAGGCACGCCCTCCTTCTTGTCCTCAATTCCCAGTACGGTCGGGCTGTTCCGTCTCTTTCATCAGAAACACCAGTTTGACGTCACTCCTTATAAAACACACTTTTGTTTCGTTTCTTGTCAGTTTATTTTCGAAAAATCAAGTTGAACTTTTTGAGTTACCGCGTGCGGTTTTAGTAAACAAGCGAAAAGGTCCGTCTAATAACCTTAAAAAGAGGTCAAACAGAAATTTAAAAAGTGCAAGGTTGAAGTTGACAGTTTGAAATAGGTCAACTCTTTCTGTTTGCTAATGAGGGGGAGGGGGCGACGACTGGGGGAGACCGGTACGGATGGTTACAATTAGTGCAACAGACCGAAACTCATCCGGTTTTTTTTTTTTAGCTTTATAATTTAAACAGCAGAAACAATTAACAATTAAAATGGGGGATTATAATTCATTACGCGATTTTGCAATATTTAAGTTGTTCTTTAGCTGATGAACTATTCATGCACTTAGGACCTATTCATGCACTTAGGACCTATTCATGCACATAGGACCTATTCATGCACATAGGACCTATTCATGCACATAGGACCTATTCATGTCGGCCAGTTAGTCCAATCGTCAGTTTCAGCAACGTCCAACAAGATACAGGCCAACTTCTCGGAATTTTGTTGTTATCATGTTGTGTTGTTGTCTGTTGTTGTCGTGTTTTGTTGTTATCATGTTGTGTTATTGTCTGTTGTTGTCGTGTTTTGCTGTTGTCGTGTTTTGCTGCCTTTCTTAGTCGTGACTGATTGTTTTTATCGTTTTGTTGTTCTTAAGTGCTTTTTCTTCATTGCTTTGTCATTGCAGTTGTCATGTTTTCTTCTTAATATTTCTACCTGTGTTTTTTCACAGTTAAAAATTATTATTGTTATGACAATGACATCCACGGCTTAAAAAAAAACATTACGTATGATCAGGCATCCCTCCGGCACTGCACACCCCCCCCCCCCCCCCCCGGGAGAAAAATGTCTGAAAGAAATCGTAAGCCTTATATTCTTTGAAGTCTCGACACAGCGGACATTCACTGTTAGCATTTCTTATTAAATGTATTCAATTAGACACGCATACCGCTCGAGCAAATAATATACGCTGGCCGTGTTGTCGCATAATGATGGCATCTCTAGTTACACGCGGAGTTTGTTTGTTGTTTACCTTTCTGTATACATGTACATGTTGTTTGACATTTATTTGTATTACCTCGAATAAAGAGTAAAATCACATGAATAAAACATTAAACAATTAATTGGATAAAGTTGCTTTGGGCATAGTGCTAGTATAGTAGGTGATGATTATGAGTCCTAGATTTGAAAAATTGTATTGTAATCTTGGACTGAATTTTGGTTAAAGTTTATGTGACCTTTGTACGAACTTTGACCTGCATTTATATCCAAAACATGCATTTTTTTAAATATATATATATAACGATTATGTGTGTTCGTGTTTGTTGAGTGCATGTGTGTATCAAGATAGATGTATCTCTGTAAGTAACGCTTCCTGTTCTAGTTGCAAGCCGCAAGACTTTGTTCGGCTAGACGGATGTCCTAATTTTGACGGAAATATGATTTTAGACGGATGTCTGATTTTAGACGTAGATCTTTATTTAGACGAAGATATTATTTTAGACAGAAATCTGATTTTAGACGCTAATCTGATTTTAGACGGAAATCTGATTTTAGGCGCAAATCTGATTTTAGGCGGAAATCTGAATTTAGACGGAAATCTGAATTTAGACGGAAATCTGAATTTAGACGGAAATCAGTATGAACATCACTCCCAAGACAAACCACTGTCAAAGGTCACAGGTTAGGTTTGAAAACTACAATCAGGTCACAGAGTCAGGAATCTTCCCGATGAATGCAGTTATTTGGTTTCTTGGTTTTTACGCAGTAGGACACATTTTTACCCCCACCCTCACCCCCAACTTTCCCCCTCCCCATCCGTGATTAAATAGTGAACAGAGCTAGGTCAATATAGTTGATGTGGGAGGGCTGGGTGGGGGGGTACACAGTTAAAGTATATACCCTCGGTGTCATTGACACGGGTTAATTGTTCCTTTCACACCTCCGTGGCGGCGAAGTGCATGTGGCATGCTCCGTGTGACGTCATACAGCATGCCTGACATGCCTTCCTGGATTATTTTTTTTGTAACGGTGGGAGGGGGGGGGATCAAAGTGAGAATTTAATGTACGTACTTTAGCGCATGCGCATTAACATCAAGTGTTTGCTTGTTAATGGGAGACGTACAGCGAAGTGATGGAGACAAGTGGTCTGTTTAAGAGTTGGTTGGCGGGCTGTATCCTGCATTACCGGACCGCCGGTCTACCTCGGTGGGCCCCCAGGTAAAAAATCACGGTGGGCCCCCAGGTAACTGTACTGTACTACGCCTAAGTGCGTTGACTTTTTTTTCTTAAATAAATTGTAGCGTGAATTTCCATTTTACGCTGAGGGTGATCATCAGACTTTGACGGGGAAAAAATGCACAATGAAGGGGGCCCCTTTAAAAATTTCCCGGGTCCCTTGGACACAGCCTGTCCACCACTGCCGGCAGATAAAGTCTGGTGCATGCCTTGAGAAACAAGTCTTAACCTAAACCTAGCTCCAAGAGTCGACTGAAAACGTTATAATGTCAAGAGATTAACCCATGCCACACACTAACCTTAACAAAAAAGACTAAACAATATATGCCGTATTCCTCAGCCTAGCCCTAATCTTAAGTCTTAACCCCAGATTTTTTTAATGATGCTTGTGTAGAGAAGTTTCAAAGACCGTCAAAAATGTTTTTAAAAATAAATTGTCTTCTTTTATCGTTTAATTTTTAATTTTTTAAATTCACAGATTCAAGGGATGGACTTCATATTCGGCAGTGAGGCCAAGAGAGTTTGTGAGGTAAGTGGTGATTTGTGGTAGTTTTGGTGGTAGTGATGGTTGTTGGTGGTTCATGATGGTTCATGATGGTTGGTGGTGGTTGGTGGTCGTGGTGGTGGATGTTGACGGTTGGTGGTGGTTGTTAACGGATGATAGTTTATGCCAGGTACACTTTACCACGAAAGTGTTTAACTTATTATATGCTGGAACATTGAGAGAAAACGAATGGTCTTTGAATACAATTTTAGCAGTGTGCCCCGCAAAGTCTATACAATTTTTTAAAAAACACATAAAGTCCAAATGTTTCTATAACATCGTCCTGTGTGATAAACTTGACCAACACAATCCGGAAGAGACTTTTCTTCTCCTAAATTATTCAGGTACGCATTAGAGCTGAGTGGACTCACGTATGCCCTGTGGACTTAAGCCTCATCTAAACTCGTGAAATATTGACTAGAGATCGTGCGCTCTACTACTTGACCACGCGGTATGAAGTTGACCTGAAGATGTACCCCGACCTTATTCAAGGGAAAAATATTAGGACGGTCCTACCAATAACTTTTTACTACTTGAAGATAGTTGACTTTCGCTTGCCAATTATTGCCTCGCTAGTTTATACCTGTATGTAAACATGTTTGTTTTCGATCACCACTGCAGGCGAGGTAACGCGCGAAATTAATTACGGCATCGTGAAATTAATTACGGCATCGTAAAATAGAGAGGTTTTTGAAAACTTTGTGACCAGTAATAAATTAATTTAGCTTCAGATCGGCCACAGTCTGTGAAAGTTTTGACTTCAAAGATCGTGTGTAGAATTTGGCTGGGTCAAAGGTGGTGTGTAGAATCTGGCTGAGGAATTCGGCCATGCTTTGATGTTTGTTTTAGTTTTAGCAGGTCCATTTTTTTTTCCTGTCGGTGTCCTGTCCGATTAGGCGAGATCTGGGTCGGAAATGTGTTGGAATTTAAGTGGTGACGTGGCTTGTTTTGGTTCGTAGTTGAAAACATTCGGTGGACTGTTTTGGTTCGTCCAACATTCATTGCAACACAACACCTCCACCAACCACGTGACACAAACAGTAAACAAAAACAGACTGCCAACACGTTCTTGTTATTTATTGACACTTTTTTTTATTTTCTCATACATTTCCCTTGCTTGTGATTATGTGTGAATTAACACAGTATTGTAATCAATGAATCTACGGCTCAGAACAATCATCTGACCTCTTTGAGATCCTCTTGTAGAGCACACAATGGAGGCGGCCGAGTTGACGAGAATCCATCTATCATACTGTTGACATGGATAACATTCGTTTTGTTTTTGTTTTTTTTTATATTTTGACTTCATAGCGACCGTAAAAATAATACAAAAATAAAAACTTAAGCCTAAAAATAATTCAGAAATTTAATATTTTCAGAATCAGTGTTATAAAAGTTGCAAATCCAGAGAACTTGAAATTAATTTGTTGAGAGTAGTATAGTAGGTCCCCTTTGGGTCGAATTTGTGCAGACATGTTTATATAGTAAAATATTGAGCAGCCAGAGCAGACATGTTATATAGTAAAATACTCCAGCTGGAGCAGGTGTTCCCCTCCTCCTATTGTCTTCCGTGACGCTCCTTTACGGCCGCGACGACAAACAATAGAGTATCGATTTTTTTTTTGAAAAGATATGTTTAAATAGTCATTAAAAATAATTTATTCAGCTAGGCTTGCTTTACAATAGGCCATATTTCTCATACAGTTGATCTATAAATAGCCGTTACTATTTACTATCAGTCTGTTTTTGTCCTCTGTTTTTTGTCTAGTCGTGTTAATTATGTTAAGTGTGATTGTTTTATTTGTTGTGGCTGTTTGCTTTGTTGGTTTTAATATTTACATATGTTGTAATCACAACGTTTTCATTGTTTTCATTGTTTTTTTTTATTTATTTTTTAACCACCTTTTAACTTAAAGGTTCTATAGCCATCATTTTGACGACCACTTATATATATTTAAATACATTTTGTTTATATTTTTATAATTTTCTAAAAAATATTAATATAGAAGATAAACAAATAATTTTTTTTTTCTTTCTGTGATCTCGGCATATGAAGTGATAGTGTGTTCATCACTATGTCCAACCGCCTTACTTTCCCTAACGTAAGTTAGGTACCCATCAGAGTTGGGTAGACTCGGGACAGTCTACTGTCTTTGAACCTGGATTCGAACTCGTAAGTTCTACCACGCTGCCCCTTCATTCATGACTATATAAGTGCCTATTGATTTGGTCAGAATAATTGTCAGGGGCACAGTTATCTCTTTACTAAATAAAACTAATATAGAAACGAAGGGAGAGTCGAATTTTTCTAGAACAGTCTTGTTAACAACCACGAGAAGCGTCCCGTAAATTTATGATCCCAATGGTTTAACATAGAAATGACACTAAATACCCTTGGTGATGTCTTTATAAACAAAAAGTCGGTTGAGTTTCAAATCGCAAGTTTTGTAAACGTCTTTGTTTAAGTATTTACATTGTTTTATGTAGGTTCAGAAGTATTTCATAGCGACAATGGAACAGTGTCCGTGCGCGTTTGTTTACATTTAAAAATACATGTCGCGTGCTTTGCGCGCGTCTCACGACGTTTTAAGTTTTCCTAGTGTTTTTAAAACAGCGATTTCTTTCTAAAATAGTGACCAGGGTCAGACATCAAAGAGTATATTAATCAATTATCATTAACAATTTAAAAAGTAATTTAGGATGTCAATGGTTTAACATAGAAATTACACTAAATACCCTTGGTTATGTCTTTGATTTTGTAAACAAAAAGTCGATTATGTTTCAAATCTCAAGTTTTGTAAACTTCTTTGTTTATGTGTTTACATTGTTTTAAGTAGGTTCAGAACTAGGTTTATTTTATTAACATAAAAGTTTTGTCTTAATTAAAAATAATTGTCAGACTAAATAGCTAATTAAAATGATCAATAGCAGTTTGGTTTAATAAGTAATATATGTGTTACACCAGCGTTAATCTTAGAAAAATATTTTGATTGTTATGATTATAATTGTTTTTTTTTTTTTTTTTTTTTTTTCCAATTGTCTTATTAATACTCGGCCCTACGATTTGTGAGATAATGACCAGCATGGTATATATTATATTTATATACACTGTTATTATTTTTTAAAGTCATCACTACCCCACTGAAACCTCTTAAAATAAGACCATTTTCCTATGATCAAAATTTTAGCTCAAATCAGTGAGAAATAAATCGGGTCTAGCATATATTAATCCAACTGATGTCGTTTAGAAGAAAAGCTGTACCTACAATTAAATTTACTGAAAGGTTTGCTTAAAAACTTTTATCAAAATGGTTGTGCACTTATACTTGTAATAAGTTATAATTTTTTACTTTTCATAGATATGTATTGAATTAGTCCATTTTGATTATGACTTGTTGTCCTGGCGTTGACATTTTACACTTTTTTTTTTTGAGACTCACATATACACATACATATACATACACACACACACACACACAAATGAAACTAAAATCAAATCACAACAAGTCTTGTTTAATTTTATTAATTTTATTTTCCCTAAGCCGATAAAATACTATGGTATAATATTTACAAGCTTGCAAAACATACATGCGTCATTCACTCTATGTCTTTTTTAAGTGCAACGAAGGCACGAGACCGCCTTTTATTGTGTGCCGTGAGCACAATACCCATTGTATGGGTATCTGAGCATAGGGCAATAGCTATACCCCAACGCACATGGGCGGTTAGATAATAAGCGAGGTAGCTTTTCCGCGGAGCAAGCTGTGAAACAGGTGAAATAAAGAAAGTCGCTTTTTTTTTTTGTATTTTATGTCTCAATCAGGGTGGCACGATATTTTTTTTTTCTCTTTGTATCCGTGTTGTAAACAAAATGAGGAGGAGAAAGGGTAGTGACCTACCCTCCCACCCGTGTGTTCCATGATGGCAAACACAATTTTAAATGTGTATTTGTTAGGTTTTAGTAGCGATACATCTTCTACTTGTTTCTTCCTTGTGACATCATTAGCAGGGGAGACGATTCGTTTCAGCGGAGCGAGTCGTGCGTCATTTAAAGACATCAAATAGGGTAATGTTACACAAGACAAGCTTTTAGTACTCTGTTGAAATTAATTAAAGGGAGAAAACCCTAAAAAATATTTACTAACGTCCCTCTGGTGTAATCTTTACAAGCTAACAAAACATACGCCGTCATTCACTCTACGCATTTTTTTTAAAGTGCTACGAAAGCACGCGACTACCTTCCATTGTGTACCGTGACCACAATACCCATTGTATGGGTATCTGCGCATAGGACAATTCTTCTTCTTCTTCGTTCTTAATTATTAGTGTTGAAGGGGATCGAGATTTATCTGCCAGTGGGTTTGAACTCGAGGCTTTGTTCGAATTTATCAACCATGAGCTTTTTGCCGACTCGACCACGCCTCCAACACAATTAAGCGTTACGTGTCAACTGGTTATGCGCCATTGAGGCCATTGACTCCGATTTCAGCCTGCTTTTCTTTTTTGGATTTGCTTCCATAGCCTTTGTCCAACCAAGAACAAACTACAAGGCAGCAGTTGTTTAATTTTGGAGTTGTCTCTCCTAGAAGAGTGGCTGTCCCCAGCTAACGAGCCTCATCTGCCCGAGGGTTCGAACTCGAGACTTTTCGGTTTAGCAACCATGAGCTTTACCGACTCGACCACGCCGACCCCGCATAGGACAATGAATCAAACAGACTGTATCGGAAAAATACTTCCACACAACACCCTTCTCTCGAAGAAGACAATTTATTTTTAACTTCACGTTGAGTAATTTTTATTTTTTTTATTTTTTAAAAGTATTTTTGGTACGTTTTAGTAGCGAGATATCGTCTACTCGTTTCTTCCTTGCGATATCATTAGCAGGGGAGATGATTCGTCTTTTACAGTGAGCTAGACCATCTCTTTTCCAAGTGCAACGTACGCGAAATAAAGACACTAGCTTTTGTATTTTATATCGCAAGCAG